ATCTCAGCTAAACTTTTCTTTGTTCCAATAGGAGGCAGTCTATGTCAATGCACTACACCTAGCTGATATTCCTATTGAAGAGGAAATCTGGCATGCTCTCAACAACATTGATGCTGGTAAAACAGTTGAACCAGATGGTTTTACTTCATGTTTCTATAAGAAAACCTGGCAGATTGTTAAGGCTGATGTGATCCAAGCGATGCATTCTTTCTTTAATAGGAATGTCCTTCCAAATTATTTCAGTGCATCTAACATAGTACTGATGCCCAAATCCTCAGAGAACTCTCAGTGGCAACACTTCAAATCTATTTCCCTCACCATTGTCTTTAAAAAAATTATTAGTAAGATAATTGTGAATAGGTTGAAGCCTCATCTATCCCATCTAATTAGGCCCAACCAGGCTGCTTTTATCACTAGGAGATGTATTAGTGATAGTGTATTATTGGCTCAAGAACTATTGACTGAGATTGACAAGCCTTGCAGAGGGGCGAACTTGATTTACAAACTTGATGTGAGGAAAGAATATGACACCATCAATTGGAATTTCTTCTTGGATACTCTGTAGACTAGGGGTTTTCCCCTAGTTTCTGTGATCTTATATCAAGGTGGTTGCAAGGTAATGCTATTTCTATTCTTCTTAATGTATGGGCTTCTTCACAGCTAGCTTCAAGGGGTCTTAAGCAAGGTGATCCACTATCCCCCACTCTTTTCATTTTGGCAATGGATTATTTTTCCAGGCTACTTGATAGGAAAATTTCCTCCAATCCCTCTAACTTTTATCACCATAGATCTAATCTGCCAGTGAGTCATCTTCTGTATGTAGATGATATCATCTTGTTTTCCAGGGCTACCAAGGCAGTTGCCAAGAAAATTATTCAATGTCTTGGGATTTCCAACAGTGCTCTGGCATGTAATTCAGTCCCACCAAATGTACCTTGCTGTTTAGCTATAGAACTATGGACCATTTCAATCAGTGGATACAACAGATCACTGGGTTTTCCATTGTTGCCACTCCCTTCAATTATCTTGGGATCCCTCTCATCAAAGGAAGGGTAAAGCAGGTGCAGTTTGACAAGGTTATTATCAAGATTGATGCCCAGCTCAATTGCTGGACCTGTTCATTCCTTTCCAATGGGGGTAAAATTACACTTTTGAAGAGCATCCTAAGCACTTTTCCACACTATATTTTATAGGTGCCTAGGATGAAGAAAAGTACTCATCTACATTTGGAGAGATGTTTTAACAGATTTTTATGGTATGGGCAAAGAAAATAACTCCATTAGGCTAGTTGGCAGAAAGTTGTCAAGCCTTTTATTGCTGGTGTACTGGCTTCAAAGGGCTACCCCAGTTGCAACAAATCAACCTTTGCAATATTTAGATTAAGTTCAGGCAGCAGTACTCACTTTGGGCTAAATTCTTGATGGCCAAATATTGTAAGGTCTCTCATCCCAATCAGATAGTCAGAAAAATTGGGGACTCTAAACTCTGGGTCAATCTCCTAAGGGTTAGACATAAAGCTGAGAATCTTTTTCTGTGGGATTTGGGTCAGAGCAATATTAACTTCTGGTTGGACAAGTGGTGTCCAAATGAAATGTTGTAGCCTATTGTTCAAAGTCTCAACCTTGACTTAAGGGCGACTGATTGTTGGGAGGAGAATAAATGGTCTATTGATCTGCTACATACCATGCTGACACCTTCTTCTGTCCAAGCCATATCAAGATTACCCTTTAATGTCACAAGGAAGGATTCTATTGCTACATCTACTAGTAAAACTCAAAGCTTAACCCAAGCCATTTACTCTAAACTGTATCAGTGGGATTTTGTCCCTTGAGGGCATTGTGTTTGGAACAAGTACCTCACTCCTTCTATGTCCTTCCTGGATTGGAAATTTTTCTACCATTTCCTGCCTGTTGATGACATCCTTAAGCTCAAGGGGTTGAAAGGTCCCTCTAGGTAATGACTATGTATGCAGGCAGAAGAATCTTCTGCTCACTTATTTTTGCAGTGCCCTTACTCCCAAACTGTTTGGAAAGAATTTACTAAATGCTTAACGATTGACACACTGTTGTTGGACTAGGATCAACTAACTCTCTGTTGGAACAGCTGGGCCAAGGTAAAGTTGGATGCAATTTTATTTATCCTTGCATGATTCATCTGAATGGCTAGGAATCAGGCAAAATTTGAAAACTGCCCCATTTATTCTTTGAAGGTTGCTGCCAACTGTAGGACATTCCTCAAACTGATCTCCTATAAGAACTTTTTGAACATCTGCATTTCTTCTTGGCATTGTGGCTTCCCCAAATATGAAGTCACATAGGTGATTTGGCTGAGTCACACCCCCCCCCACGCCTCCCCCCTTCATTAAGGCCAACACTGATGGAAGTTACTCTGAACAATGTGCTGGCATTTGGGGTGTTTTCAGGGGCCATCCTGGTAGGTGCCTCCTTTTTTCTACTCAGCAAATTTTGTCAAAGATTCTTTGGAAGTAGAGGTGGCTGCAGTCTTTTGGGCTATTAAGTTAGCTATTCTCAACCACTGAGACAATTTACAGGTGGAGATAGATTCTTCCTTACTTTTGAGGGCTCTCACTATTCAAGATTCTCATCTCTGGCACATTTCTCACTGGCTCAGGAAGATTTAAGGCACTTCAGATTCCTTCTTCCATCCATGTTACTTTTATTTATAGAGAGGGCAATTGCCCAGCTAACTGGTTGGCCAAGTTTGGGACTGCTTCTAACTCAACTCTTTTTTCCAAAACCCCTTCCTCCTCTCTTGCTTTTTTTTGGGTGGGGACCTTTTAAATGTCCCTTACCTTAGAATATGTAAACGGATTTTACATGAACAGATTCCTCTTTCTCTATATATATGTCACTAAAAGCAAGATTCTTAGCATCACAAATTAATCTCTTAGACTTCCTATGAGCCACCATGAATTTCTCTTAGTTCTCTAAGCTTTTACATTTAACTTAATTTTTTTAACAAAACTTTTTATCTTTTCTTGCACATTATAATTACACCACTAACTATTTTTATTTATATTTTTCTTTCTTATGATTCTCTAATTTTTTTTTTCCACTTGTTTAACATTTTTTTTATTTAATCTTGCATTAAATGAACATCTTCATGAACATCCTAAATCTTGAAATCTGTAAGTTTATTCGTAAAAGTAATTTTATTTGTCTTTCATTTGCCCTCATCTAAATCTATGATAATGTTAATTGTATGTTTTTTTCTCCCAACTCTTTAAATTAAAATCTAGAACTAATATTCGATGTTGAGCACTGATATTGTCACTTAGAATGACCTTATAATCTTTATATTCTCAACGACCTCTTTTTCTAATTTGTATTTTATTAGATCCATTCTTATAAGTAATAATGTTATCATCTCTTTTCTTATATAAAATATTAGCAATTACAAAAAATGAACTATTCTACCTTCTTCATTAATCACTCCAAAGCCCCAACCAACATGAATATTTCTAATTCTACAACCACTCTACCAATGTATCGATTTAAATCTACTCCAACAAAAATTCTTTCTTCAAAATGTATCATTTCTATAACCCTAAAATGTTCATAAATAAATTTCAAAATTTATACATAAAACATGTCAATATGTAAGAATTATGTGATATGCATGTAAATCCCCCTATCATTTGAGTTTGTTAAATTTTTTAAATCTACTCCAATAAAAATTCTTTCTTCAAAATGTATAATTTCTATAACCGTAAAATGTTTATAAATAAATTTTAAAATTTACACATTAAACATGTCAATATATAAGAATTATATATGCATGTAAACCCCCATACCATTTGAGTTTGTTAAATTATAATGGAGAAAAAAAATAAGAGGTTTGAACATCTGAGTTTGTAAGAATTCGCAGGAGATGGATACTGTAAATAATAAATGTCTGCGTATCTCACAAAAGCATATCAAGTTGACAATACTCTTCTCAAATATTCTATGATAGTTTGTCAAGAAAATTACTTCGTGCAACTGTGTTATATTATCTAATAAGACTAGGTGCATCATAAGAAAATAACCAAGTAATTTACAAAATCAGATTTTCCTTATGCTCCTAAGAGCTAGATATTCACATATGTTCTAATTATGTATATAGATTTCCAACTAAAAAATATAGAGAGTAATCAACACAGTCATTAATATATATTTCTTTTTTTTTCATTTTCATATTGGGATTCTTTATTTTATTTCCAACAAATGTGCCATGCACTTAAGAGTAGAGCTGATAAGTTCAACTTTAAACTCAATATTCACTAGCTTTGTTTGCAAAACTTTATCAATAATTGGTCTTATGAGCTTATTACTTTTCACTTACACTCCCTCAAAACCAAAACTTAATTTCTCATCAACAAAAAGAAGGTTCTCTCTAAAATTTTTGATAACCAAACAAATGCGTCAAATCTAATTTCAATAGAATTCCTTAAAAATTTCCATTTCCTTCCCATGTTTCTCTCTTGCCATTCCTACAAAAAAAAAAAAAAAAAAAAAAAAAAAAAAAGCTTAAATGCTCTTTGAAAATGTGTGGAGCAATTCATTAATAATTCTATACATCATGAACTAAGCTCGCGCCATGAAATAAATCCTTGTGGAGAAAAACATTCATCTCTCTCTTTAAAATCATTTGCTTCATACTTACAAATTAATACAAATGAAAGAAACCAAAGCTATGCTCTCACTTATAAATGCTCATAACCAAGAAGCATACAAAAAGAACAGTAAAACAAACTTTCAAGGTTTGGGATGGACAATATCATTTAGATCCATCTCCATTCCCCTAAATTCCTTTCTTTATGCGGTTGAAGAATCAATAAAAAGAAGAGGCATTTACATACATGCATCAAACTCTCATTTATTTACATGTAAAACACCTAAATTCTGCTTTGTACGATTATACCACCAAAATCTTTTACATCGCATAAAAAATACCATTATTTTTTTAATTTTAAAAAGTGAAACCCTTTCATGCATGGATTAAATGACATATATATAAAAATTGAATTTTAGGTGTGAAACATGTAAATACATTAAAATTGTGGGCTATGTACGTAAAAGACACTACAAAGAAGCAATATTTAACTGTTTAACTCTATATATTTCTCTTGTTCCTTCATTAGTTATGCCTAGTCCTCAGCTATGGCCCCTCTACCTTATTATGTTGCACATCATTGGAAGCCATTATGCAGGATCAACTTCTGTGGATTCCGTAGGCGTCGAACTGGGCCTAACCGATCCATCCAAAGAGCAAAATTTATGATTTTGATGAGCATTCAATTCCCATATGAGAATAAGAATCACCATGACTGTCGAGAGAGCTGCCAATGATGCCCATGATATATGAACATATTTTTTCAACGGTTTGCAGTGGTTGAACAATATATTAGAGAAGGCATCCTTCACCAACTGGCAATTTATCAGACTCTTCATCACTGGATATGAGTCAAGGATGTCCTGCATCGATTTCGTATAGTTTTCTAGTTTAACATAAATGTGAGCGGGTATGAATTCTCCAGGTTTGCATCCGCCGCTGTCATCCGACGAACACGCAAAATTCTCTATAAGCTTCAGAAGGAAATGCAAATTTTTATTATTACCTTCAGTTTATCTCTTGTAATGGAGAATCCTTGAAGAAGAAAGAGGAAAAGGTGCTCCTTTTAACTCACCTGGGGAACCTGTCCTACAGTGATAGTATTAGAAGAACAATTTTCAGGCTGATAGTTGTATCCAGGTGGCCCTGAAAATGGGTTGCATATATATTCTAGCTTCGAAATAGATGGTTTGAGGGAGGTTATGTTTGAGTTCACCTGCGATTTTCGCAAAAGATTACAACTTTTATGCCTTCTACATCTCGGTTTAATGAATTGGAACAAAAAAAAATTACATTTCAGAATGTAAGGTTATTTTCTTGTGTAACATTTTTATGGAGTAATGTGTCAAAGTTGTCATCTACAATTTACAATGAGCCGTTTTAATCTCAGAGTCTATACAACAACAGCAACAAAACAATAACAAACCTTTATCCCAATAATTGGGGTCGGCAACATAAATCCTTTTTCTCTTTATACAACAACAATAGTCCATTTTTCTCCCAGAGTCTATAAAAGTATCAAATTAATTCTCATAATATTTAAATTTGGGCTGATTTAGTCATTCATGAGAACTATTTAAGCCCATATTAAAAGAGTCTAGAGACTAAATTGACACTTTTATAAACTCTGGGACTAGAATGACCCTCTGCAAAGAGTCAGCAGACTTTTAACTTTTTTAATCAATTTTTTTTGTTTATGAGATTTGAAAATAGGTTTACCTCTTGTATTAATTCATAAACACGACTGCTAACGTCGTAGAGGACCGTTGCTGCCGAGCCTCGGTCGTTGCAAGGGAGAATTGAGCTCAATGTGCTTCTTTCTGGATTTTGCTTGTATTCATCTAAAGCTATGCAAATATCTCCTGCAAATCTGTTACAAAAATCCTAATATTTAGTATGACTAACCTTATTTTTAAGCATAATAACACACTATCTTACTTTCCAAGGAAATAATACAATCCAAAGTAGGCCCATAAGAGGATTATCAACAGCCAACAAATAATGATAACCCTGTCATAATATAAACATATTGATTTACAACCCAATCAAAATGTGATAAATATGCAATGAATTACAGCTTTTATAACATATTCAAAATGTAAAAAATATTCAATAATACCCACTTACATTCGAACGATTCGAGGAAGCCTAAGAGCTCCTGATACAACAATATCACAATTATAAACAGGTTAACAATCTATGACTAACATGAATTACACAAATAAAGATATCAACAATTCACTCACCAAAAAATGCGAGAATGGCGACTAAATTCAGTGAAACAGTAATAATAGTGACCGCATTTCTGCAACAAAGTAGCTCGTCAGTCGAGAAAAAAATCAGAAGGTTGAACAATTCCTTTTTCAACTTTTCTTTTTGTCTTCATTTTGTTATGAATCTTACAGAATATTTAGACCTTTGCTAACCCAATGCATGATCCTCTTTGCCTTCCTCTCTAACCGTCTAGTGTCATCATTAAGCTTCTTCGACGACGAAGCGATTTTGCTTGAACCTGCAACATTTTGGCTAAGCTGAGTATCATTTTGAAGGTTTTCAATGGCTTCCGTCACCGTGTATATTGTTCCCGAAGCGGTATTTGTGGCATTCACCACAATGTTTTTGATGGTTTTGGCCTGAGAATGAAACTTAGAGCTAGCTCCCAGTGCCACTCCAGATGAAATTCTGCATGTATTTATATTATAAGTGAAAGCTTTTTTTTGCTCGAGGAAGATTTGCATACATATCACTCAATTCCGTTGAATTTACATATATAGCATCTAAACTTTAATTACTACATCCATGCCACGTTACCTATGCATGATAGGTGTATTTCACTTTTAAAAACTAAAATAATGGTATTTTTTATGTGATATGAATGATTTGGGTGGTGTAAATGTAAAAAATAATAGACGTTAGATATGTAAATACATAGGAATTGGGTGGTATGTATGCAAAAGTTTATTTTGCTTTAATGAGAATGAGATTATATTTGACTTACATGGCTAGAAAGGTTAATAAAATTGCTATAAGAAGAGGCCAATTATGACCCTTATTGAAGGAGTTTAGTCTTTTTCTCTCATATCTTCCATTTCTGTTGAAGCAAAGTGATAAAACTATCGAAATTACCGCGTAAATGAGGCCGCCGACAAGCCATGCTGCTCCTATAATGTACCCGAATTTACCGGTGAAGATAACTGACTGTATGACGAAATTTGATCTTAAGATAATAATATATAACTTGCATAATCCAAATATAATCAAATATAGAACAAAATGAAAGAGTTTATAAAATTCTTACACCCCAATAATGTTTATTTGTGATGTTAAAGCCTCCTTTGTATCTCTTCAAGTCATCCAAAGGATCAATTCTTTCAGTTCTAATAGTTAGAACGGATTCAGAAGTGTTCACATTCGCCAACAAAATCCACCCTATACACAAAAACAAGAGGCAAAAATACGTATGACTAATTATAAATTCTTATTTTTTGTGGCTTCTTTCAAACTTCACTTTTGAGTTCTTTCTTGGGCAAAAAATATTAAAAATTAAGATGCAAAATTAAAACTCTTGAGTAGCAAAATTTAGTAAAAGAAGGGGTGAATACTTAACAAAGTTTGTGAAATAAGTATATATTATATTAAATTTCAACAACAATAAGATTAATAGCATATGTAAAGTAATAGTTTCTTATTATTACGTATAAACGCAAGTGTTAGAGAAATTTTTTTTTCTAGAATGTAAGAACAAAAATAAAGATTTATATCGAGTATACATATATTTTATTGCAAGTTTAAGTAATTGAAATTACAAGTTGTAGAATAAATAAAAGCAATTATCAAGTTTCTCCTTTCTTTCTGAATGTTAAAAGCAATGATCAAAAACAGTAACCCAAACGACAATTTAAGGAAAAATACAATTGCAATTTCAATTTTACGCAAAAAGCTCTGCTGGAATGATAAAACTGTTTGAATGATAAAATGTTAACTGAAACACAAAAGGGGGAATTCAAAATCTTAAGAAAATGAATGAAATTTCAATAGAAAATAAATTATTAATCCCAGTTTTAAAATCAAACAATCTTAAACAGTTTAAAAAGAAAGCAAGATGGATTTCTTCACCTGGATTAAAATGCAAAATTCCGCCTAACTCCCCATCTCCATGAGCCTCCACTCCTCTCAAAATCACCAATACATAAAAACAGAGAAGAAACACCGTTACTTCTCCCCTCCATTTTCTCAACCCAATTCCTAACATCGATCACTCTGAAAAATCAGAGTATCATCAACAATATATCGAAGAAGAAGAAGGAGGAGAAGAAAAGGAAGAAGACAAACAAGGGCTCAAGAAAAGAAGAAGAAGAAGAAGAAGAGGAGGAGCAGGAAGTTAAGAAATGGAACCTTGGAGAGCTGAAACCCTCTCTGAACAGCGAAGAAAAAATATTGTGCTAAAGAATCTAGAAGAAGATCAAGAAAAATATAAAAAACCCGTGTCAAAGAAAGCCTTCACTTGGGTAAACCAATACTTACCTGCCAAAAGAAGAAAGAACCACACCAGTCATGGCGGCGGTCGTCAGCCATGATACCTCGCTCTCTAAAAGCCTTTTTGAACGTGTTTGAACGCTCATGGAAGAAGAGAATGTCAAAAAGATTGATGACTAAAAAATGCGCTGTCTGCATATAAATGCTTTTTGGAAAAAAAAATTGAGCTAGCGTATCTAGATTCATTCTTTTTTTTAATGATCTCAAGAAATTAGAATCTCTTTTATATATATATATATATATATATA